GAAGGATCGCCGGAGCCCAGCAGGTCGAGGCTGCAGTGGCCGGAAGCGGCCACTGCACTCCAGTCTGGGCGACAAAGTGAGACTCCAACTCAAAAAAAAAAAAAAAAAAGAGATGAGGTCTTGCTATAATGCCTAGGCTGGTCTCAAACTCCAGGCCTCAAGCAATCCTCCTGCCTTGGCCTCCCAAAGTGTTGGGATTATAGGTGTGAACCACGTGGTAGAGGTGGCAATTTTAATTCTACCTCAGTGTCTGCAGAGATAGAGGAAGGGAGATAGCTTGGCAGGGGCTCAAGCAGTCCTTGCTGGAGAATGTAGGTTTTGTTCTCTCTTCTTAGCTCCCCCTTTGAGGTAGGACTTGCTGCCCAGTGAGAGGAGTGCAGTTAGCAGACAGCCTCCAGGTCAGTTTCCTTCAGGATCTGCTGCAGTTGCAGAAGACTCACCTCACCCGAGGTCATATACTTCCTTTGGGAGCCCACATCCAGTGACTGAGTGAGATGGGAAGCTACTTCAGTCCAATGTGGTAGGACAGGTTTGATGGGCAACTGTTGCTCCAGAGCTCCCTGCCAGTTAGGTGAGCCCTTGTCAGGCCTGCATCATAGTTTGACATCCCCCTCTGCCCAATCCTGCTTCCTCCCCCTTCCTAATAAACCTTGTTTCAGAGAACTCAATATGTGATAACACCCTCACCAAGTCAGAAAAGTGTTTAGCCCTGGGTCCCTACCTTCATTTAGTCTGGGCACTGACTGGAAGATGGCAGGACTCAGCAGACCTCCCTGCCTCTGCTATGGCTGAATGACATGAAGGGGCTTCCCCCTCAGCCCACTCTCTACAAATGAAAGGATATTAAGAATACTTCCCAGAATTTGGTCAACTTATCATTTCCCCTCAGTTCTACTATTGGGGGAAAAGAGGAGACAGAGCCACATCTACTGCCACTTCATCAGAATTTTTTTTTTTGAGTCAAGATCTCACTCTGTCACTCAAGATGTAGTACACTGGCACGATCACAGCTCATCACAGCCTTGAGCTCCTGGACTCAGGCGATCCTTCTGCCACAGTCTTCCAAGTGGCTGGGACTACAGGTATGCACCACCATGCCTTTTAATTTTTTAATTTTTTGTAGAAAGGTGGTCTCATAAAGTTGCCTAGGCTTTTCTCAAATTCCTGGGCTCAAGCAAAGTGCTAAGCCACCTCAGCCTCTCAAAGTGCTGGGATTATGGGGATGAACCACCACACCCAGCCCACTTTTCTTATTTTACAAATTACTGGGAAAAAACCTCAATGAACTTAACTTTAAGCAAATTGAATAATGGGATAAATACATGCATTACTATCACAACTATATAAAAAGTAGATGTATATTAGATCAAGCCTAGATAGCAAATCAAGAAAACAAAAAATGAAAAAACACGATTCATTTGGTAGGATTATAGGTGATCTTTGTTTTAAATGTCATTGAGTTGTAGTTGTGCTGTAGTTTCTTCAATTCAGCACATTTTCTTTTCTTTTCTTTTTTTTGAGTTGGAGTCTCACTCTGTCACCCAGGCTGGATGGAGTACAGAGGCATGCTCATGGCCACCGCAGCCTCGACCTGCTGAGCTCATATGATCCTTCCACATCAGCCTTCCAAGTATCTGGAACTACAGGTATGTGCTACCATGCCTAGCTTATTTTTTTATTTATTGTAGAGACGAGGTCTCACCATGTTGCCCAGGCTGGTCTTGAACCCCTGGGCTTAGGTAATCCTCTCACCTTGGCCTCCCAAAGTGCTGGAATTACAGGCTTGAGCCACTGTGCCTGGCCCAACTCAGCACATTAATCACTGTGTTGACCATGGCTCAAGTGCCAACTCCATTAAGGGTCTGGAGCTCACCATCCTTGACTTCTCAACTCAAAACATGTACTCATCATTCAGTACCCTCTACATGCCAGCAATGATGTACCATGGTGATTCATGCCTTTATTATTTCATTTCATCCTCAAACCAACCCTCTGAAACAAGTACCATCATTCCCAGTATGGCTATCAGTAAATAGAGGCTAAGGATATGTGACTTGCCCAAGGTCACACAGCCAAGACATGACAGCTGGGATGTGGAACCTGTGCTCACTCCACACTGCCCTCAGCCTTCTGTCCCCTGGTGCTGGTGGGGATTAAAGGAGCCTGCAGGCTGCGCCTGCTCCTGGAGCAGCACTTGACTCACTATCATCTTCTTCATGCTGCCATCTGTGCCAGATGTGCAACATGCCACATGCCCACACCTCCTGTGCCCACTGAGGGAGGCACCACTGCCTCTGCCCCAAATCCTGTCATATTGAGCCCCAAGCCCATTCATGGCACTTGGACAAGGTCCAGGGCTCTGGGGCAGAAGCTGAGGACAAGGATACTGAGTCAGGGCCCATCCCCTCTGTGCCTGCTGCCTGCACACCTTCTTCTGCTGGGTTCTGGAGCTGTTGCTGGTGGCACAGGGAATGAAAGGTATCCTCCTCCTGCCAGATGACCCGGTGCAGAATGATCCAGGGCAGCACTGAAGAGACATGAGGCTCCTTGGTCTCCTCCTGCACAGCCATGCTGCAGTCAATGACCTGGCAAGGGGCAAGGAACCAGGGATATCACAGCAGGGCCAGCTCTGCCCCTGCCTTCCCAAGGTGAGCCCTCAGGACAGACTGTAGGTGGGCAGGGGACCTCTCAGGAAGCTGGGGCACACTGTCTACCCATTCCCACTGCTTTCCTAAGTTCCCTAGCATGTCATCGGATAGAGCCCCACAGTGTCCAATGACAGTCACCTATGTTACTGATGCCCTCATCACTGGGTCCTGTGAACTGGGCACGTGGGAGCCAACAACCCAGGAGAAGAGAGCCATGGACAAGCCATAAGAGCACTAAGGGTCTGTGCAGAGGGAGTTTCCAGGTGAGTAGCTATGGAGCACCCAACACCCAGAGAGGGCAGCATAGGGAGAGAGGACAGGCATATAGGCAGGGACCCCAAAGGGTGGTCCAGGAAGGTTGCAGCCAAGGAAATGGAAGGGGGAGAGGCAGGATGGGGGCTCAGTGCACCTTGAATGACACATAACCCAGAGGGAACATGATTTTAAGTAAGGGAGGAGCATATTCATATTTGTTTTGGAAAGGATCCCCTATGGCAGGATGGTGGCTGGACTGGAAGGCTAGAGGGGCAGGGGGACTGCAGAGAGCATGCTGCCATAGTTCAAGTACAGATGGTGGTGACCTGGACTACAGTAGAATATGAAGACAAAGGGGAGAAACAAAGGCTGGAGATAGTAAGGATGTGGATTTGGCAGAACTTGCTGATGGCCTGTGAGTGCAGAGAAGAAAGCTGAGAGTGGCTCAGAGGAAGGTTCTCTGCTTCAAAGTCTACCTGGACAGTGTGGGGTGCCATTACCATGCCTCAGCTGAAAGTGCCAGGACAGTTTGGGGTAGTAGAGAATCCTGGCCTGGACTCTGGCCCTCATTCTGCCTAAAACTCACTGCAGGCAGACCAGGGCCTCCCCTCTGACTCTGTTTCCTTCCCATTGGGATAGGTGCTCTGGACGAACCTTACAGCCAAGTGCTACACAATCTCTAACCCCCATACTCAATCAGCCCAGCAAAGTTTGCAGCCCATGCTCAGCCCCACTCAGATCCTGAAAATTTCAATCAGAGAAACAAACACATTCCCTTTGGAGTGCCTAACCAGCAATGAAAGCAGTGAACTACTGAAGATGGGGGAGACATATCTGTTGGGATAAGGAAAGGTGAAAAGGATTCAGAAGTTACCTGGATGAGATTGCTGGTGAGCCGCACAAGACCGGTGGTGGAGGATGACTCCTTCAGGATGCTGCCACTGCTGTCTGCAGAGAGTGCCTGCTCGATACCCAGCAGCAGCTGGGTCACTGTGGCTACCCACTCTTCCTTGGTTGCAGCCTCACTAGAGTTCACCATCTGTTGAACAGCCTCATTCAGAGCCACGTCAGAACACTCGAAACACTGCTGGTGGTCCTTCAAGCGGAGCAAGGAGTCCTAGCAAGGGAGGAAGCCAGGTGGAAGGTGCACTGTGAACTCATCACACCTGTACCCCCTCAGCACACCTGAGGGGGAAGAGCTGGGGGAAGACAAGAGCCGGTGCAAAAGAAAGGGAAGCACACTGCTCAGCACAATGCAGGCCCCACATAGCCATGAAGTGCGGGGAGTGAACTGTGTGTGATGACAGAATAGTGTGCCACCTGCCAGGGAGCTTTCAGAAAGGTGTTTCATCTCTATGCCTTACCTTCTCCATTTAGACAGCTGGGATGCTGGGAATGAGGCTGCAGGGCAGGCCCAGGTAAAGACAGTGACTTCAACACCTCTGTCAGCTCTTTCCAGAGCCACCATGCCCATCCAGTGCCAGGGCTCTGCAGGAAGCTCAGCAAGGGAGGGGCCGGCTGCCAGGAAGAGACTGTCTCAACTAAGGAGGGCCTGAGCCAGGGCCACAGTACAGTAGGAGCAACAGGCTAGGCAGTGCTGAAGTCATCATTCTGTGAGTTCTCTCTTCCCCAGGTGCTCTGGTGGGGCCAACGGCGGAGCCAACTTATGAGCCCCTCTGAGTCTCAGCCGCCACATGGTACTCTCAGAGGCACTGTGGACATTAAATGAGCTGATGTGTATATCATACTCAGCAGTGTCCAGAACACGGAAGCGCTCTCAGAATAGTACCATGAGCTGTAACTTCTGTTTTAAAAGCTCTTCTTTGGAAGCCACTGCCTTTTATAAAGCTCCTTTCTTTGTCTTTTCTTTTTTTTTGAGACAGGGCCTTACTTTGTTACCCAGGCTGGAGTGCAGTGGCATAATCCTGGCTCACCACAGTCTCAACCTCCTGAGCTCAAGCAATCCTTTAACCTCAGCTTCCCCAGTAGCTGGGACTACAATACAAGTACTTGCTTCCAAACATGGCTCTCTTAAAATTATTTTTTGGTAGAGATGGTGTCTCACTCTGTTGCCCAGGCTGGTCTCAAACTCCTGAGCTCAAGCGATCCTCCCACCTTGGCTTCCTAAAGTGCTAGGATTAATAGGCATGAGCTACCATGCCCAGCCAAAACTCATTTTTTTTTGCCTTAGAATACACCCATTAAACACATGGGATCTCTACCTCTTTCATTACTATTGGTGCACAGGGAAATGCACCCTGTCTGTGAATACACCAATTGGTTGGGCTGCATGTTAGACCCACAGGAAACACCTGCTGCCTGGGGCCACACTGTGCTCTGACTTCACCACAGCCCAGGCCTGCTCACCTTGATATGTACAGCTGCAACACTGAGGTGACATTGACAGGTGTGGGGACAGAAATACTTGAAACTGCCTTTGGGATGTGGTATGACATCTGATCACAGATTAAAACCTTCCCCAATTTATAGGCCTAATTGCAAGGAAAATGGGCCCTGTGCTTCCTAAAGACAGCCAGCACCTTTTAATGGAATGCCCCTGGGAGGGCTCCTACAGGGTGCAGATGTGGGGTCTAAGGCCTGAGTTGACCCCTTCGGGTCAAAACATCGAATGCATGAGGGGCAGGAGATTATTTTCCAGCAGGATAAAGACAGTTTCAAAGACAGCCAGAGCTGTAGTGAAAGTCAGGGACAAGACAAGATCTGCGAGCAGTACTCTAATATGACATAATCCCCAGGGCCCAAGGCCAGAAAGAATGAAAAGGCAGAAGAATAACTGCCAACAAATGAGACCAAATTATTGACTGGGGGCAACACAATCATCTACCCAAACAAAACAAACAGAAAACAATTGGAAATGATAGGCATTCAGCGAAGCAGCTAGACTCAAAATAAACACGCACAAATCAATAGGGTTTCTATAAACCAGTAATGTAGGAATATACATGGAAAATACAATGAATGACAAAAAGATTCTGCTCAAAAGAGCAACCAAAAATATCCAGGACTAAGAATCAACTCCCCAAGAGGCAAAGCATCCAATTATACTGAAGAATACAAAAAGTGGCTAGCCTAAACTGGGAAAGTCACCACACACCTACAGGGAAGGATTCTACATTTGACCCCCACTTGAGAACAGCTAGATGAAGCAAGTTAAAAGCAAACATAAAACATTAACACTGCTGAAAGAAAACAAAGGCAAACACAAATTTTTCTCTCTCTGCTGATGGATCTCTTATCTGCCTCCCCTCTAGAACAAGAGTTTTTCTAGAGCAGCCTTTCTCTTGTCCAGTGCCAGGCACCCTGCAAAAGCTCAAGCCATATGAGTGGAACAAGTAAATGAAAAAAAATTTTTTTTTTGAGACAAAGTCTTGTTCTGTCACCCAGGTTGGAGTGCACTGGTGCCATCCCAGCTCACTTCAGCTTCAAACTCCTGGACTCAAGCGAGCCTCCTTAGTCTCCTGAGTAGTTGGGACTACAGGATGTGCCAGTGACAGGGAGGAGCTGCTGTGGCTGAGGCCTGGACCAGTGCTGTGGGAGCTTTTTGTGACTCCTGATTGTGTTGCTTAATTTCCTATTGAGAGTGTTTTCCTATTGATTTGGAGTGCTCTTCTCATATTAAAAATATTCATCTTTTTCTCATCAAATCTTATAAGTATTTTTCCGTTTGTTGTTTGCTCTTAAATTGCAGCTTTTGTTTGTTGTTGTTCTTTTTTTTGACATAGAAGTTCTGAATCACTATGTTGTCAGATCTTTTGATATTTTCATATGTTTGTGATTTTGTTCATTGTGTTTTGTTCATTACGTTTTCAAGAAAAATACTGCTGAGCGTGATGGCTCACACCTATAATCCAAGCACTTTAGGAGGCTGAGACAAGAGGATCACTTGAGCCCAGAAGTTCAAGACCAACCTGGGCAACATGGTAAAACTCCATCTCTACAAAAAATAATTTTAAAAAATTAGCTGAGCACATCGAGCTCAGGAACAAGACGACATCTGAGCACTGGATCTATCAACAACAGGAACAAGATGACATCTGAGCACTGGATCTATCCTACAGAGGCAGAGAGGGCAGGCCTCTCCCCTCCGTCTCCCCATCCAAGGCCCTCCTTGGTTCACCCAGCTGTCCCTTCCACACAGCCATGCTAGGCCACAGTAATTGAGGTCAAACACATTTTATCCACTGATCTCAGCTTGGGCTTGACTGACCTCCTCTGGCAGGAGCTAGAGCCTCTCTCCCTCCTCTACCTGGTGCCTCCTCCTCCTTCCCCAAACCAACTCTTTCCTCCCCTTTCACCAGGGCTGAGATGTTTCCATTTGTTCCCATAGTTGTACCTCCTAACTGTTTCCCAGTTCAAGAAGTTAATGATTCAGATGTCTAATGTAGTCTGAGCAAGAAACACAGACGGGGACTGGACTCTCCTTCTGAACGGAAAAGGAAGGACCCAGTGAGATAATAAATAGAATGTGATTGGTGTGATGAAGCATCAGGGACCAAGACTCCAGGCCAGCCAATGCTACTAAGCACATTAAGTGAATTATCTTTCATGTTTGTCTCTTGCTGACTTGACTCGACCCTCCTGGGGATGGTGGCAATGATGACAGCGGCAACTCCATGGCATTCGCTACGTGCCAGGCATGGTACCAGCACTCATTAACTTGCGTGATCCCCACAACAGGCTTCTGATCATGCCCATCCTAAAGATGAGGAACTGAGACTCAAAGAGGTTAAATAACTGCCCTGTACCCAGCAGTTGCAGTATCCCTGGCAGGCCCTCAGAAAGGGTTTTCTTCTGGGGATCTTGGCAAGATAGAGACGGAACAGTTCAGAGTGTGAGAGTCTCCGCAAAAGCAAGTGTCCATAAAGAATCTCTGCATGAGTGGGTATGTGCTGGTGGGTAAGTGAAAGTCCATCTGAGGAGAGACTCGGGTTCATGCACCCAGGGTTCTCCTCTGGAGGTGGCTGCAACCCACTACCACCCTGAGATTTGAGTCCCCAGCACACGGGATCGTCTGCCGTTCTCAGGGCTCTCTTCAGAGGAGGCAGCAGAGAATACCTGGCTCTTCACCACCTGGCACCTGGCCCACATCGGCACCTGTGATAGCAGACCAGGAGGAACTGTGAAGAAGACAGGGTGTGGAAATCTGGAACAGAGATCCACCACTGGTGACAAGATGCCAAACAGCACCATCTTCTCAGTCCTGGGACAGGCACAAACCTGCATTGCCCCACCAAGCTCTGTCCTGTCTCCAACCTGGGACCCAGAGAGGACTTGAAGAGACAGATGCCTCTCCCCGATGCTGGAATAGGCACAGACATGTCAAATTTGAGTGGGAGATTTGACAGCAGCGGCAGCAAGTCACCTGAGTCCAGATCTGATCCATCCATCTCCCACGGTAGTCTGTGGGGCATCTGAACCACACTGAGAGCAACCCTATCAGTCTCCATTAAGAGCAGAGGAGAGGGGCTGAAGACAAGAGCCACTCCTTATTGAGGTGGCAGCCAAAAGGAACCTGGAGTTACAGAAACGGCCACAGAATGAGTTTTTTTTTTCTTTTTGTTTTAGTTTTTGTCTCTCTTTCTTTCTGCTTTTATGCTTTCATACTTGCTTTATTTGTTATTCTAAAGTTGTTTTTTAAGATTTTCTTTGTGTATGGGTATTTTTAAGGGAGAGTATATCAACTGGGGGGGGAGTTGTTTGTATGATTGTATGTTTTTTACATCTTTGTTTCTCTGTTTAATCATTAATTGGTATACCTGTTTTCCCTCTTCTTCTTCTTTTTCTCTCTCTCCACTTTCCTTTTGTTTTCCTCCTTCCCTTTTCTATTATTTTCATTTTTCTTATCTCATTTGGCTCTCAGGAAGTAAACATATACCCCTACTGCACAGACAGATTGTAAGACGGTGGGAAGTGGGTTCCAGGGGGCCCACACATCTGTCAGCAGATACTGAGATCTGCAGATAGCTTCTGAATCACAGCTCCCCCCTTAATTAAATCTCAAAACTACAAAAGCACAGCTCCCCAACCCCTAGTCCAGCTTCAGAATTGAACAAAGTCAGAGAATCTACATAAGGAAGAATAGGAGATTGAGCAAAC